ATTCTTGTGTCAAACCAAAACTCTCCAAAACTGGTAAATGACACACAATATTCAATAAGGGAGTTCCATTAATCACTTCCGTCGACTTGATTGAACCTCTACGATGATTCACCACACTATAGATGGCACCCATTACAGAATTAGGACATTGAATCTCAACCAAATAAATAGGTTCTACTAATTTAGGACTAGCTCTTAATTGAGCAGCACACATGGCTCTACGGGAAGCTTCACCCACTTGTCCTGCATTTCTATGACTCGAATCAGAGTGTAAATCAGCATCATCGACCTTGAACACAACTCCTCTCAATGGTTCATCACAGAGAGCTCCTCTCATGGTATTTTGCTGGAAGGTCGTTACCACAAAATCTTGAATTTCATTCATGTACTCGACGGAATGAGAGGCATTCACTAACATGTTAGGACCTTTGTCATTGGGTCCAAAAGACCAAATCTTCTTGGTAATGGCTGGATCCCAATTAAATTCTTGTTCCAAAACTTTGGCTCTCTTATTCACATCTTGCTTGACAAAATCACCTTCTTCAATGAGAGAAATGAGTTCTTCACTCATGGGTTCAGCATGGATCCATAACTTGTTATGTTTGTTTGGAGATTTGGCAAAACAAGGTTCACACTCAGTGGTAACTGTTTCCAAGAAACTGACCACAGGTTGACTCTGTTTGATTGGAATACCCTTTCCATATTCTTCTTCTAAATTCTTCATACAAATTTCTAAATGCAATTCACCAGCTGCTGCAAGAACGTATTGACCAGCAGAATTGGTTCGACATTCCAACAATGGATCACTTTTCACTAACTTTTTGATGGCATCTACAAACTTGGGCATGTCTGCAGGGTTCACTGGCTCAACACCCATCTGAACGACAGGACTCACACTATATTTCATGTTTCGAATAGGCATACATTCGAAATTATCTTCATCGACACAGGTACAAGTTTTCACAATGTACTTGTCGAGACCAGCGAGACCACAAGTGGAACCACAACTCACTTCAGAAACACTTTCAGTGTTCTTACCGAGCATGATCAACACACGTTGAACATGAGCATTAAAGACATCTTTCTTGGATTGAGCACCTTCATAGGCAGGACCTAAAATTCTCACACTACTCGATTGTTTGACAGTTCCAGAGAAGACACGACAGAAAGCAATGAAACGACCAACATTATTCGAAATGGAAGAAGCACTAGTATTGGAATGCATGGGTATCATCTTACTGACATAGAGAATGAGAGGACCATTGGGATCACAATCACGAATAGCCATGGCATTCGAATCATTCAAATCTCCAGTGTATAAGAGAGAGTATCTGTATTTCTGAGCTTGTACCGGTGATGGTAAGTGTTGAATGATCATTTGAATGAGACTCTTAGAGGCAGGAAGGAATTTTCTCATGATGGTCCTTAATAAATTCTTGGAATCTTTCTTACGATCTTCCTTGGAGAGAGAAATGGAGAGTTTTTGAATCACGTTGGAGAGTTCTTCGGAGAGAGCAATTTCCTCTCCACTCGAATTGCTGTTTGTGGATCGTTCCTTCACAAGTTTAAAGATTTGGAAGATGGGTTCCAAAATAAATTCACAGAATGAAGGTTTCAATTTCTTGCCAGAGACTTTGGAATAGGGTTCAGTGGACCATTTCTTGGCTTCGTGATCATAATAATGTTCACCCCATAATTTACGAGCAATCTTATCGGCACTGGTTTGGAATTTCTTACTGTAAAGTTCAGCAAATTGAGGAATGGTAAAGGCCCAACCCATCTTACCACTTCCAAAAGCAACATTGCCAATGGTTGGGTCCATTTGTAAATTCTTGTACAAATCATCTTCAACACCATAGGTCGAAATGAGTACATTCACAGATTCAATAATTCTTTGGAAATTTTGATAAGCCTCTTCGGGTGAGAATTGCAATTCTTCAATCACACGATCGACCTTATTAATCACCAAGACGGGTTTAATCTTTTCTTGGAGAGCTTGACGCATGACAGTCTCTGTTTGTCCTCTACAACCTTCGACAGAATCTACCACGAGAATGGCTCCGTCAGTCACACGCAAAGCTGCTGTCACTTCTGAATTGAAATCAATATGACCAGGACTGTCAATTAAATTAACAATAATCTTTTCCTTTTCATTGGAAGGATCATTCAGTACCATGGATAAACTTGTCGACTTGATGGTGATACCCTTTTCAATTTCGTTCTTGTCGACATCGAGTACTCTCTTTTCACCTGCTGAATCTTCGTCAATGAAACCAGCTGCTGATGCCAACTGATCGGTGAGTGTGGATTTACCGTGATCCACGTGAGCAATGATACTCAAATTTCTAATGAAATCTCTTCGGGAGAGGAGAAGTTCGAATTCTTCCTTGTTGAATTTGACCATGGAGTTTCTGGAAAAGTTGGAGTTTGGCTATTGAGCTATTGATTGGTGTGTTTGTAATGAACTTGTGAGATAATCACAATAACGATTTTTTTTGTTGTTGTTCAAAGAGACAGTCTTTGCAGGATTTGCATGTTTAAATACCTCTTTAGATCTTTGAAGCACGTGTGGAAGAGCAAAGGAACACAGTTTGTGTAAGAATAGCTTCATTTGCGAATTTGAAGTAGGTTCAAATTCAAATACGAATTTGAAGCGGTTCACGTTTGAAATTGCACATTCATTTTCGAGTCAAGCTGGAGTTCCTGGTTCAATGTCAACTGAGAGGTACCGTATACAAGCGAGCGGCATGAACCTCAACGAGGAAGGCTCATTTCCCTATCAAATACATCCCGATTTCTGCCTGTCAAAAAATGCACTCGAACCTGTTTCATCATGAAACAAGGACCCACAAAAGACGAGTCAGGTCATCACAGCTGACTGCAACAATTGGTAGAATGTGTTTCTTGTTGATGGTATTATTTTCTTTTCTCACTAGCACCATAACTCCACAAACAGCTTCTTATGGAACCATCGGAGGACAAATTACAATAATTTTCAAAAATCAAGATCAATACAAGGCTTTGATGGACGTTTCATCTCAAAGTTTGCACTTGAGAGTATCGGTCTTTCGATTAGATATTGTTCAGAGCGGAAATTCTACATATCCATACATTCCCGATATTGTTGAAATAACGACTCTTTCTCCACTCAAAACAAGCGTCAATAACCAAATTGTGTTGTTGCCTTCACAACAATTTCCAGCAAGCTTAAAAATTCCCTATCGATTGGATGATCTTCCTCTTGCAAGTTATATTGTGTTGGGACAAATTGTTTCAGGACACCAGTCTCTTACAAGTTTTAATGGTTGGTATCGTGGTGGAGGTGCTGAATATTTCAAAGACATTACATTATCGAGCGACAATAGTTATTTTTTGAACGCTGATTTTGTTATTGAAGGCGCCACACCTTACCCTGCATCTGAAAAATTCCATAGCAATGGACATTTCAGATTTGTGAAAGGCCTGCCAGTGCTCTCTTTATTTGGAAACGAAAAGGAGAGAGGAGTTTCACATGGATATCTGCTAGCTCAACAAATCATTGACTTTTTCAGATTCTACGTCTTGGAGGGTGCCATCCTTTCTGCAAAAGATTATTTAAATATTCATGTTCCGGTTCTATCAAGCTCTGCTTTCAAGTATGATAAGGAATTTATCGAAGCTGTTGAAGGAATTTATTCTGGAATGATAGCTTCTGGTATTGATTTATTTGTTCCTGAGCTGAACAGAAAATTTCAAGTTATTGACGTTATTGCAATTAATGCCTATATTGAATTGGAGTATATCGCAAGTCACGGAGTTCCAAATATTGCTTCAAACAATTACTTGACTCAAAGTCTGAGAGAAAAATTACTAGCTCAACGACCAAGAAGCGCATTGCATCGATCCAAGCCACATGCGGCTTGTACACAATTTTCAGTATGGAATGAATTCACCTCTACGAATTGTCCTCCTGAGCAACAAAATAACATTATTTCAGTTCGAAATATGGACGGAGAAATTGACATGAAGCGTGTCACAGTTCACGCAATTTTGTTGTCCACTATTGAATCAACCAATTCATTCGATAGAAAGTATATTAGTGTCATGTGGCCGGGTTTCGTGGGAACTTTGAGTGCAATCAATGAAGATGGAGTTTATTCCATGATGAATTATGGCCGAACTCATCCAAACACAACTTGGAGTTCAGGAGCTCCTGTATCATGGATTCTTAAAGAAGTTATTCAAAAAACCTCACTTGAATTGGCCACTCCATCATACATCCAACAATTTATCGAAAAGAACTTTAGATCACAACCAGGAGGAGCTTGTTTAACAGGATGCATTCTAGTATTTTCTCATAGAATTACCAGTAATTCATCACTACAAAATTCACCTCCATCATTTGTGTATGAATCTGACTGGAAAGGTGGAATGATGAGGTTACCTCAACAAGCATTTCCACGATTTGTGAAAAGCAGTATTGGAGCAAGCAATCATAATCATTTGTATGGAGTTGAGTCTGGTGACAGAGATTCTACCTTTAACTTTGGAATTAGAAATGGATTTAGTTCCATGTGGAGATATCAAGTTACTTCCAATTTAATTGATGTTTGGGCGAGATCTGTTTACAGCAAGGTGCAAGATCCAAATTTCTGTAACTCACAAATGAGAGAAATTCTTAGACGAGCAGCTCATGGCCAAACTGAACACTCCATCATGTTTAGGCCTCTTAATAATGGTAAAATATTCATTGACATTGCAGTGGCCCAAGCAACGTTTAATGGATGGGATGCACCTTATCTAGATTTTGTAACGTTTGAATTCAATGACTTGTTTACGAAATAGATAAGCCAAATTTTCAGAACTTTGCTCACGATACTACTGTTCAATACAACACTCGACCTTCAGGTTTCCAAAATAGTGTGCTCAAAACGTAAAAGAAACAATGTCTTTTCCTCTTCATATTTTCTATTTGAAAGCGGAGTTTGGGTTCCATTTCGATTCCTTCCAAAGCAAAAAAAATGATGCAGCATCAACTTCCTCCCCAACGTCCTGCCTTCTCATCGCCTCCTCCTCCGATGATCAATAACAACTCTTCAACCACCACCACGGCCAACACTATGGTTGGAACCGCTTCTCCACATGCCCAAGACTTCATGGATAGGTGCTTGGGAAAGGTTCCTGGTTCTCAAAGATTCTGGGATTATTGCTTTACGATATTTATGCTTCTGTTTGTTCTGATTGGAGTTGCCATTGTCCTATTAGTAGCTGTGTTCTATCACAACCGAGTAATTTTTATTATTGATAGTGAATGTAATGCTCTCGGAAAGAAAGATATTATTTTACCTTCCAATCTTGTGAGTTCATTTTGGAAGCGATGTCAGACAGCAGGAGATAGTCAATATCCAACATCATTTAACTATGCTTTGAAAGATATTAAATGTATGAAATCCACAAGCTATGGAAGAGTGTTGAATACTGGAAAATTATCAAATTTGAAAAAGACAATTGTGAATAACGTCGTTTCAATCGCGGATACATTTTTACAGGAGAAAGGAGTTTGTGACTCACAAAGAGCTACTCTCCTCAAGATTCAAAACAAGTACAAAACCTATGCTGCAAAACTTAGCAACAACCAGGATGTCAATCTTCCCAAGTATTTCAAAACATACACTCTAACTCAAGCTTTTGAGCAAGCCCTTGCAACAAACAACGCAAATCAAAAAGATTCACTTGCTGACAAGAAAGTGTCATGGTATTCAACTATACCAGAATACAAAAACATACCAGATCAGGATGGAATAGCCACATTTGGTGTTGCTCTTTCTTCAAAATTTGATGAAGCACAATGGGATTCTGTTTTACGTCATGAATCTAGTGACTCTAGTTCCAGACTATGGGTTAGATTGAATCTCACCGAGACAGTTCCTCTTTTCACAACTGATAATTTTGATCACTTGACAAATTTCGTGGTGTCTGACACGGCCAATCTTACCCAATTTTATGAAATTATCAACCAACAAGTCCAAGATAATTACATTAAGAGCTTAATTCTTAACCAAACTGATTTTGTCATCAGCTATACTGAAATGAGAGCTGAGCTCATGTTGTTGAATCTTGCCAGAATTAATAGTGGTGACAGAGGAAACGTAATGGCTGAAGCTTCAATGATTATAGGCGTTCCAAATGGTGACTCCATTGATCAGAGAATTTTGTTGACTTGGGGTGATGTCAAAGAGGCACCTCAAGAAGGAATTTTACAAAGACTTGCTGAAGGAAATCTTCAATCTTCATTCATGGTCCAAGGCTTTTCAAAAGATTCTGTATTTAGCCAAGATCTCCTTAATGTTGTGGATAGAATGGACAGCACGTACACTTTCACCACAACTGATGTTATTTGTAACACTAGATCACAAACTACGATTGATAAGGTTGACTTAAACAAATGTAGCTTGCTGAAACGAGTACTTCAATGGAATCAAGACACGGCCTTTACCTCAATTACCGCACCAACTCTTTACAATCCCTCGAACAAGTTTTATCTTGGCCTCAAGCTTTACAAATCGTCCAATGTTGATGTTTTTGAAGAATTAGCTAATGGCAGAGCTGATGAATTCCACTTTTAAAATTTGCTGTACATTAAGAGTGCTATTACGGAATAAACAAAAAAATTGGTTGCCATGGCACGAACCAGACAAACAGCAAGGAAGGGCATTTGTGGAAAAGCACCACGAGCACAACATTACACTCCACGCACTTGCTCCAAATTTCGTGAACTCATGATCAAGAACGATCAATCTCAACACACCGATATCATTTCACGATTGGCTCCCTATTCCCGATGTGCCAAGTTGGCTAGATTTTGGATATTAAAGGACTTGCAACAAACTCATGGTGCTCGTTTGAAGCAAAACCATCCATGCAATGATGATCCAACGAGTACACTAGAACAACAAGAGAACGTTTTACAATTACTTCAATCATTACCTCTTGATGTCAAAATTGATATCATTACTTTTATTCCGACCACTTCTCTACTAGTACCTCCGTATGGCAGGCATACACAGACGGGAGCCAAATTGAAAGAACAAGTGGATCCTTGGTGGTTTTCTTTAATGAAACATCGATTGATTAGCACATCCGTTAAATCGGTTCTTGAAAATATCATTTGTAAAAGACTTTCACGAGAGGGTCTAGATGCTTCTGATAGTGTACTTGTTCGACCTTATGCTTTGAAGCGTCATCCCATTTGGAAATTGTTGGAAATTCAGGAGAGATTCATGACGTTGCAAGCAAATCCATCTCATAATGAAAAATTACAGAGCCAGGCTGATGAAGCTCTTGCTACAGTGCCTGAAGGCAGTAATGTCCTTGCCGAAGGAGAGTGCGTTTGGAACGCCATGTTACATTTTACGGGTAATCCTGCCAAGTTCTATACGATCCAATTAATGGTCGATGGAAAAAACTACTGGTAAGCAACGATTATTAAGTATTTCATTAGTAGTTTTTCTAATATTGTTCGCATGATCATATATATAATGCATATTCCTAGTGTTTTTACTCGATGGGGCCTTTTTGGACAAACGGGACAAAAGAAAATCATTACATTTACATCGTTGATGGAGGCAAAAGCTGAATTCAGAAACAAATTTAAAGAGAGAACAGGAAATGATTGGGAAAATAGATCGAATTTCCAACTTGTGGTAGGAAAGTATAACTTGGTTGACATGTCCAATACTGGTATCTCTACCGTGGAATCAAACATTGAAACCTTTAATTTCAATTCCTTATTTCTTCCAATAGCCACATTTGGAACTGTTTTACCACCTTTACATACTTTTTCCACAACATCCAGCAATAGTACTGAACCAGAAGAAGAAGAAGAGGATATATTGATGTCTGAAATGATGCAAAGAGATTTAAAAGACTTGGAAGATGAACTTATTGAGGACGTTAAACATCATCCACACTTTAACCTCATGACTTCTTTCTTGGATGAAGGCTATTCTGTTGATGCTGATATCATGAAACCAATTCAAGAATGCAAGTCTATGATTCAACAAGCCTTTTCAGAATATAACCCTCGAACAAATACTTTGCATCTACCACAAGTTACGAATCAGTATTTGAAATCTTTAACTGTTTCCATTGCCAGCGAACACGATTGTTACATGTGTATGGAATTATTGCATTCATTACAGAATTTAGAACATGTAACCTTAATTTTGTATTCCTATAGTATTTTTTACTCGTTCGCCAACCTGATACAAGTTGGTATGGAATATCCTTGCATGAAGCATGTGAAATTTATTTGTTTGAGTTCGAACACGAGTTTTGGTTTTCCTGACATTATGATGTTGCTGACCACCCTTTTTCCTGACATTTCTAAAATAGAGTTTGAGGGATTTATGTGTAACGAAATTTCTGCCAACATTCAATCTTCTATTGCACAGTACCAAGAGATTGAGATTGTTTACAAGAATATGAATGCGGACTTGTTTGAACAAGTGTGCAGGACTTACAACATTTATCCTTTTGTAAGCAGCCCAGATGTCTACACTTCTGTAGTTGTGGATGAAGACGTGCCAATCATAGAAAAGAAGAAGATTATTGAATACTTGGTACCACATTTTGATATGAAAGATCATCATTGGGCAAATAGTCATTATCAGTTTCAAAACCCACAATTAGCGCCTTTGTATCAGTACACGATTTATTTGATGAACAAACATGGACAACATTTTGGTAGCAATAGCGACTTGAGCTTTTCAACAATCTCAATGCAATATGGTTATGACATTTGCAGCAACATGTTAGAATCCATCCCATACTTTTCCTCAAGCCTCTCTCAAGATTTGATGAAAATGTTCGAAGAGAAGTTGAAGAAAAAAGAAGCCAAACTTAGTTTGAATGATTTTTTGGGGACTCTTCTTCACAGCACCGACTATGGAACGCTGTTACAAGTTTTTACTCGATTTAAGAATTATTTACCTGAAGAGGATGCAAAAAAACTATTCAAAAGATTTGTTTTGTACAAGAATCATGATTTACATGTGAATTTATTTAATTATTTATTACATTTTCAAGCTCCAAGACATGTGCTGGATTACATTTTAGATTTCATGACTCCTGAAGATTTATTAGAAACAACTGTCATGTATTCTGAACAGCCAGAACCTGGTCACTATACCGTCAATACCTTATTGATGGCCATTCTTTCTAGTTATGTGTCAGATCAGTTCATTTTGAAGATTATTGAAAAACAACCACTTCTTGTCAATATGAGTACTGGCTTGGAAATTACACCACTCCACGCTGTATGTGCAGACACATCAAGATGGGGCTTAATTCCATACCTTGTTGAGCAATATCATGCTGATGTTTTTGCAAAGGACAAGCAGGGTCGTACTCCCTATCAGTATGCTTTGTATCAATGTCCATATCGGGATGCAATTCCTGCATGTCTGAGAATGTCAGGACAAGAAATGGATACCAATAATGGCTTGTGAAATTGTGATGCGATTGGAAATCAATGAAATATATTTTGCAAGTTCCAACTTCTGCTTGTTTTTTAGTTTAAAAAAAATGTCTCAACTTGTCAGAGCTTCAAAACATCCATTCGGGTTTTCTGTCTTTGCTGCCTTTGGCATTTCCGATGAGCAAAACGAAATTGAAAAATTATATTTGAATTTTTGTGATCGAGATGATGTAATCTTGTCAACAAATCCAACGGAAAACTCATCTGAAATTATATCAGAAATGAAAAATAATTGTTTTGAATTAGGAATTGGAAGACACACCAAATGTCCTCTGAAAACAACCTCTCAATGGACAGAAGACGAGCGAATTATTTTGAGAAAGTCATTATCAACAGAAACGAGGAAATTTGATTTTATGCAAGTTGCCGTTGCTGTACTTATTGAAAATGTCCCAACTAGGGAAGTGTTAATCACAAAAAGAGCCAAACACATGAGGGCGTTCCCAAATACCTACGTTGTGCCTGGAGGGTCTGTCGAACAGCAAGATGAATCTATTTATCATGCTGCTGTCAGAGAAACGTTTGAAGAGACAGGAATTCAAATAGATTGTAATTGTTTAACACCGATTTATTTGTGGGAAAGCGCCTTTCCTACATCCATTGACCAAGGAATTCCATCTAGACATCATTTAATTATTTATTTACATGCAAAAGTCAACTTATTTACTGAAAATGCATCAAAAGAGGAAAAATATGAGAAAATTTTGAAACTCCAGAAAGAGGAAGTTGAATCTGCCAGTTGGATTGGAGTTGAGGTGGTTTCCAAAATTGTACAGCATATTGAAGGTGGAAGAGAAATGACCCAAAAATTGAAACAATCTATTGAAGGAAAGACTTTTGAAGTTTTTGACGTACATGGAAACTATTCAACAAGTCCTCTTGATGTTCTATTTAACCCAGATAATACCATTGGATATGAGAGGTTGACAACAGGAACTAGATTTCTATTGAGGAGGTGGTATCACATTAGGACCCATGAATGACGTCGATGTTTGTAAATATCTGTTGTACATTGAATCCATTGGTTGAGCATATCATTTATTTACTAGTCTTGAAAATTACTAAACCTCTACTCGATGAACATTGAATAAATAGTTAGCCATGTAGGCTGCCTCATTCTCAGAAGATGGAACGTAGAACGATTCTGGTGAAACAATTTGAGAAGCCTTTGTTCTCAATTCCATTGAGCTCAAATTTGTGCCTACCACAATAACAGGTCCTTTGCTAGCTTCTTGTTTGATGGAACTTGAATTTTCTGATTTATCAAACAGAATATCAATTTCAGGTTTGGAAAACTTGTGTTCTTTGGTCTGATATATTTCTGTAATAATTTGAGGGATAAATTGCTCGGCGTCGTTATAACGTCCAGGAAGGAACATGATTACGTTGGAGGGAACATCTTCCCTCTTTCTGGTTGGAGGTACTGGACATGTTTTTTCGTTTTGATTTTCTTCCTCAGCGGTAATACCAATATCCAACGTGTGCAAAGGTTTCATCCAATCTGTAATTTTAAACTTGCTAGAAACAAACTTAAAGTTATTAACTTGGGGAGTAAAGTCGTGAACAACATTCCAATGATTATTGTAAACAGATAGATCCGCTTCATGGAATTGTTGAGCTAGCCCAATATAGTTGGAGGCAAAGCAACTGAATGATATGTCCGACGAGGACTCAATGACTGGTCTTGTTGAACAAAACATACTCAGCTCCAAATTTTTGCAATCTCTTGTTCTGAATTGTTGACAAGCAACAATCATTTTAACATTGGTGCTAGTTCTAATGAAAATACTTCCAGAACAAGGGCCAATAAAGAATCTACAATTTTCGCAGCTATCAATAAATATTTGAGATGAGTTGTCCAATAAGTAGAAATCGCAATTCGTGCACTTGTCAATGTTCATGGCTTGTCCAAGAATTTCGCTGTATCATAACATCAAGTTATTACGAGGAACAAGTTGCACGTGATATTTAAAACTCACCCTGGTCTTCTAATAATGACTCTATCCTGAAATCCGCTCAACAAAAAGTCTTCTGCCTTCAATTTTGAGAAATCAATTTCTTTCTTTTCCTTACTCTTTTGTCCCAAGTAACTCCAAGTGTATTGTTGAGGAGAATGACTTTGCTTTTTACTTTCGGCACTTGTTTGGTTTGATTGAGCAATATTCTCATAACCTGCCGATTTTGCTCCGGTGGTGTTATTCGACGAGTTTTGCTTGCTGTAGAGACAACCCATGATGAAATGTATTGTGATTTTTTTTTGTACTTTGTTTTGGCGGTTCTTTCAATGTCACATAGCGCTAAATGAACAAGACTTTGGGTTAGCGTTTCATATAACTTCAATAACAACTTACTTTCGGAGAGCACACCATTCTCTATCCAAGGTCCCCTTTATTTTTTGGTGTTGTACTTGATTTCAGTGCGGTTTCACGATTCGTGTTTTTTTGAAAGTTTGATTGACCCTAGGAGCAGAGAATCGCGTCTGTATTTTACATAGTTATCGTCGGTAGTAAATGAAGCTTATTGAATGCATATTGTGCATAAGTAGTGTCTCCTTATTGCGGTCTGTTATTTCGAAGGTGATTCAAGCTTGTTTCCGCAGGTACAGCCGACGGTAAAACTCGAGATAAAAAATACTGTCGGGAGTTACTGATGAAAAGAATCCACCAAGACACAAAATACAGCCGGAAGAAGCATCATGTTAAATATTCTAATAATGGAGGTTTAATGAACGAAATAACGACGGAAATACTGTTGAAATAACCTACCACAACACCTGTGGCTGTTACTATCGATGATAATGATGGAAATCTTCTTATTTTATTTTAATTCAATTTGAAATTTTTTTGGTTCAATATTTGATTTAAAATTGTTATTGCAAATGCATTTTAAATTTTATTGGCATCATAATTTACAACTCAACAACGTTGGCAGGGTTGACAGGTCTTGAGCGTCTCATTTTCGCTGATGATGATTTACGTAAATGCTCTTGATACAATTTATATTCCTCAGAATTGATGTCATATACATCTTCGTCGTTTTCAAAGTCAAAAAGGTTGTCTGAATTTTTGCTTTTTGAGACTCCAGATCTTCTACGAAGTTTCGCCTTCTTTTTTGCGTTCACAAATATTTGACTTATATGTTTCCTGCATATCTTTATCAACTAAAAACGATTGTTGTGAAATTTAGTCAAACAAATAACAAACACAACTTACTATTTCATCTACCTGGGATTTATCACAATCTGAAAGAATACTATAGTTTGGAAGACTTGAACAAAATGTTTGAACATAAGTAACCACTGTGTCTGAAAGTTGAAGCTTTTGCTCTTGTGTTTGGGGATTAGAACAGATCTGAAGAGTTAAAATTTATAGGAACAACATTACAACTTACTTGGGAGAGAAATGAATGAAATTTCAATTTACAACATTGTTTGATGCTTCATGGAAAGAAATGATTACCAAGAAATATTGACAAGAAACAAACCTTGCGTTGTTCTGAGTTAAGAATTGCTTGCTTTCTTGAAAAAGTGTTATATTTAATGATGGAGCTATATAAGAAATGTTTTTTCGATTACGTTTCTTCTTGATACCCCTTACAGTGTCAGTTGGCATTATGATTGGTTTTTTTTTGTTTTGATTTTTGAAAATATTTAAACGGGTCAACTTTGAAACTATTGGAGAGAAGTTTTTGTAAGCGAGTTCAGATCGAGCGCGCACAGGAAGCGTTTTCTTTACAAAAAAAAATATCATGCTTCAGAACAAGGCCGAATCCAAATTCTTTGACGTGGTTTCCTTGAGAATGTGCCACAAGTGCAATGTACATGATTTGGAATTGTATATCCATAATTCGGCAAAGTGTAAAACCTTGAATCCCTCTATCAAATGCACTTGTTTTTCATGCGGCACAACTTACTTCACTTGTCCTTTTTGCAAAGATTGCTTCTCCGACTCTCATGCATCCAATTTTTTAAAACACATGAAAAGATGTTCAAACAAAGATGAAGCTCAGAACCCCGTTTTCAAGTGTTGTTCCGAACAAACGACAGAGTTTGATCATTATTATTCTCATATCATCAAAAATCATTGTGGTCATTTGTGTTCGTTTTTAAAAAAACTCAAACATGAGGATAAAATGGATGACGAAAAAAACAACAAGAAAACGACAGGAGTGGTTGTTATGGAGGAAGGTTGTGATATTGGTGGTTTATTGATGAACTTAGAAGCTCTCACTGCTGACGTGCAGAATTTAGTACAAACACCATTTCCAATATTTGAATTTTTTGAGAAACTGAAACAATCTATGCCATATGTATCAAATCACTCGTGCGAGCATGAACAAGAATTTCACTTCCCTAAAGATCACCCTTTTGAAAGTTTTGAAGAATTATGTTGTTTTATGTTAATCAATCACTTTGGAATTTCTAAACAAGCATATAATTTCATGATTCAAATGCTGAAATCAACATTTAAAGACCGTCCTGAGTTGATGAAATTATTTGTGAGCTATGATACCTTGAAAGCAAGAGGAAATAATTTGAATCCCCAAAAACCCATGCAGTTCAATGATAATTTCATCCTTTACTCTGTACAAGATACTATTCGAAACATGTTAATGGATCCGTATTTGGTCAACCAATTATGTCTCAACCGAGAAAAGCATCAACAACAGTTTGCAACCAAGCAACCATTTCAATCTAAAATATTCAACAAAATTTTGGAGAAGTGTCAAAGTGATATATTCCCTCTTGTGATGCTGATATATGTGGACGATTTTGTAAAATTCAGAACAAAGTCAACATCAACATGTGGAGTGTACTCAAGTTTGTTGAATTTCAATAGCGACTTCATGAGAAAACTTGAATCTATAAGCTTACTTGGGTTCTCAAAAACTCACTGCGATTTTTGGACAATGACAAGCCATTTGATGAAAGAAATTAATCACCTTGATGGGGAGATAATTGAAATAGAAGATCCCTCTACAGGTGAGTCTAGAAAATTTCAGATTGTTGTTGCAGGGTTTTTATGGGACACAGTCGAGAAGATGTATTCCTTGCAACTCATGAAAGAAGAATGTAGCCGTTGTGAAGGAATTTATGATAATCAACATAAAACACCAGATTGTTTATTTGGAGCGTCTACGATAGAAGATCCAAAGTATGTCACGCATTTCGAGAAAAGAAATATATTTGAAGCAAACACTGTTATTAATAGCATCGATTTAAGATCAAATGACAGAACAAAGGACAAGGGTTTTAAACCCTTAATATGGGAAGAAATGCAATTCAAAGATTTGAAATTATCTAAAGCGAAAATAACGCAAAAATTACGAGAATTACCTGTTCTGCATATCAAATGCATTCCACAACTAATGCTATCAGCAATAGATATCAGCAAAGTCAAGTCTAAATGTAGCTGTATTTGCTATTCATTGCCATCTGGGTTAAAGTGGCAATTGAATCAATTTGCATTTTGTTATAATTTTTGTAAATAAATATTAATTTTCTAAATATTTCAAAAATCAACAAGTCTTATTCAACAAAGTATCGATGAAAATAATTCGTGGTACTTTCATCCGAACCAATCCGAAGGTATTGTCCGTCGTTGTTATCATAATTAATTTCAATCATTATTTTGTCAATATTATTCTCCGTCCATATCTTGCCAGTGGTATTTCATCCGACAGTATTGGTCGAGCAGTAAAATATGTCATATATTCGTCGGTCAGTATTTTCCTCATTTACTTTTCCGACGGTATTTTGATGACCAGTATTATGCACATGTAATTGCCCTGTTGTATTATGTCGTCCTTGATGCCATGGTTAATATCCATCAGTATTTTAACCAGGGATATTCTCCATCCGTATTCGTCCAGCAGTATTTTAATCGAAGGTATTTTTCGATGGTAGATAAACGTCTTATTTTTGACCGCACTTATTCTCTGATTACTCATGCGGTATACCTGCTTCCTTCTGCTCCTAGGATTCCAATCACTCCCCATAAAAAATAATGACCCGAATTAGAGAGACAGGTGCATCGCTGTCATCCACGACCAACGATGGCACCTATCATGGTACAACCTCATCCAAGAGAAATACATTGGATTTAAGAGGTGTCATTGGAAAATTCAAAACAAATCCATCTTCTTCATCCTCTTCACATCAACACAATGGAAACTCTGTACTCAACCAAATCATTGCCGATGAACAAAATTTTCATTTACATCCAATTACAGAGCAAGAAGGAACTTCTTCGGAAGGGGTGAATGATTTGAGTTTTCCTGTTCCTCCAGGTCGATTCAAAGTTCAAATTTCCAACACAACAGCCATGGGTTTAAAACTCTTTTCGTCGGTTATATTGCGAGCAGATGTATCGTGTCAGTCATCGGGATCTTCCATCATGTCCAAAGATGATGATCAATTATGTAATTCAGATAATATTGAAAAAGGAGGTTCATGGAGTACATTAATTTCTACTCCAATGGACTCTCAACAATCCATCATTCGAGTTACATTGTTTTGTGAGCCACCCGATTCCAAGTGCAGTTACAAAATTACCATTCATCAAATATTTAATGTTCTTCATACGAAAGGCTTTGAACTCGGAAAGGGAGAAGAAAATGATTATAATTTTGAATTGCCAATGGGACAATATCATATTCTTGTTCATTCGGTGAATCAAATTCCTTTTCATTGTACTTACAAATTTGCAAATTCAACCAGTCATTCAGAAAAAGATATTACGGAATTGAAATATTACCACAACCTATTGTGGCAATTATTGAGGAAGATACAGATCAAACCAATCTCACACAACCATTGAATGTGAAAGTTTCTGCTTTCAGTAACAAACCAGTGAAGGGAAGATTATTAATTTTGCAATCAATTGGAGCTATGGAACTCAAAAGAATGCTCGATAGTGAACAACGTGTCACAATTAATGAATACAAATCTCTCATTGATGACTGTTATACAGATAAGAATGTAGAATCTCTTACAGATTTAGAGACCATGCTCGGCGATTTATTAGAGAAAAAAGGTCTTCGCTATCAACCAATTCATTCCTATGTTCAAGCAATGAAAAAACATTTAATCGAATCTCAAGAGCTTGAAAAAGAAGTCAAAGAACTTGTGATGAATAAGAGCTTGAAATCATCTCAACTCGATCAAATGCAATCACAATTCAGAAAATTACGTCATTTAGTGGAAAAACACAAATTAGATACAAAAATTATTATTAATCTTTCAGAGGAAGAAAAAAAGGTCACACACTACAAAGAAATTCTGAAAAGATTAAAGATTACACAAGTCGTCTGAAAGAATATGTGAATCAATATGATACGTCCACACTCGAAGCACTGTTACATGATATTTCAGAAGACACATATTTACAAGATGAATGTTGTGCGAGTATGGTTCATTCCATGATTGAAGAACCTGAATCCATTTTGAAAAAACTTAAAATTATTGATTCTGTAAAAGAAGATATTGAAAAGTACATGATGGATGAAGATCTTTCACAACTAGAGAAGATCAAGAAACAAATTGATACAACCTATGATTCCTATGAACGTAAATATATAGAAAAAGAATATACTCGGTTGGATGAATCAATCAAAAAGATCAAAACACGTTTACATGCTGAGAAAAAGTTAAGAGAAGCAATTCTCACCAAGCAAACACATAGAATAGGTTCAGATATCAAAGCATTTGAACCATACCTGAAAGGTACACAAATCTTGCGAGATGCAAAAAGAATCATGGAAGATCTACTCGATAATGGAGATGCAGATATTTCCAAATATGTCAATCAACAAGAAACCACTGTGCAGAACAGTGAAGATTTAAATCCGATCACTCGAATGAATGAGACCACAAGTGTCCAATCAGTGCCATTAGTATCAACACCATCAGTCATTACCAAAACTGTATCACACCAAGATCCTTTGAAATTACCTCTCGATCCTATGAAAGAGACCGATGTACTTTCAAAATTACTTCTCGAAGATGATGATTTAAGTGCGAGGGACCCAACAACCTCAAAAAGCTCACTAACGAATCCATCATCATCCAATCCAAAGAATACCTCAATAGAGTCCTCTCTCAATTCTATGGACAAGAAAAAAGACAACCTTTTAGATTCCATTCTTGCTGAGGAATATGATGATGATTATGAAGAGCAAACTACTACGACACCCATCGTGGCATCTTCTCCTTCAGCCCAAATTAGTAATTCTTCAATCTTTAACAACACATCATCCAACAACAATGAACCTTCAGTGATGATCTCGACGACTTTATCCAAAGCTCAGACACAAAGAACGTCGACGAGCTCACCCACACGAACCATTCCTAAAACCTCAAGCAAAATTTCCATACCAAAACGTAAGACCAAAAAAGCAACAACACCTACAACCACTTCGACCACTAGTATGAATGTACATCCAAACACTTCCAATAGTAGTAGTAGTAGTAGTAGTGGTAGTGATAAATCCATTGTTTCCACACCACAATCACCATTTTCACCTCCTCAGGAGCAAGTGTGAATCTTAACAAATCTTCACTCACCATGACGACTCGTCAAACTCATAACAAAGAAGAAGAAGAACTCTCAGATAGTGACATTGAAAACATTTCTGATGATGAGGATGATCCAACTCCACTTTCAAAACCAGTATCAGTTCTCAAATCATGGGAGCTATTTATGGAGATGTGTTAACGGAAGAAGAAATTAAAAAGGGTCGAAATGAAACTCTTAGTAGTGCTCATTCAGGAGTGGACATTGAAAGAGCACCTACAAGTGGTGGTCAAGAAGCGAAACAACATTCGTATGATAACACGACAAGTAGCTCACAACAGCAACCTCCATATAATTGTAACTCGGCAACTAGTAGTGAAATTACTACTACTGCCACTGCCACTACAAATGTGGTACAACCTATTAACCACATGACCTCAGCTTTGAATAATAACAATCACATACAATCCAGTAGTACTGGCACAACCGTGCATACCAATCATCAGAGATCATCTTCCAATGTCATTGTGTTAAAACCAAATAAGCAGAAAGTGTGTGCTCCTTCCTCTTCTTTAACAGCACACTGGGAAACAGAGTTAAAACAGAAAGAATCTGTATTGTTAGAAAGATTTCAAAGTATGGTATCTAAACCCATTCACAACG